TAATTTAGCATCTATAGTTTAAATTAATCAATAAAAAAAATAAGAAAAAGGAAAAACAAAACAAAACTTTATAGGTACCAATTGAAGATTCTTGATTAGTCCAGTATAAGAGCCGTCTCTTAACAATTTGTTTATTTTTTTTTATAATTATTATTTTTTTGGCAATCAAAACGTATAGATAAGGTTATGTGCACTTTAATTAATCGTCAGGATACATTATTTATTAATATTTAGTATTAGCAAAATATAAAATTTACTCGTTATTATAGCATTTCTCAAAAAATATCATAGCATTTTCTCTAAAAATAAAGTAATATGTAAAAGGGATGTTATTAATTGAAGTATGAACTTTGGCTAAGATGATAAAAAAATGGATAGAAGTTTTGAGGGAAAAAAAGTTTGTCATTTGAGTATAGTTTTAATAAAATTCAGGATATTTTAGTTTTTCACTTTCAAATTTATCCTTCAAACTAATAGAGGTTAAATTAGATATTATTTTTTCATAAAAAGACTAAATTGCCCCTAACAATACCATAAACTTTTAGAGTAATTAACAGGCCTCCCTTAAGGTTTCAACATATCACAAGCGTAAAGATCATTAGATTAATACAAATATCCCTTCAACAAAAAAAATAAAAAATAAAATAAAATTGACAAGTTACTCCTTATAGTTAGCCACTTATATCCCAACCATCAATTTTTGGTGTTAAAATTAACTCTGAAAAAAAAAAAAGACCTTATATTATAAATAATAAGAATTATAAATTAATATTTCAAAATAATAAAAAATATATAGAAAAAGTTTTTAAAATAAACATATATATATATTTTTTTTAAATTGCCTTTTTCAAGATGGTCGCGCGATCTCTTATGTTGAAACCCATCTCAGATTGTCTAAACAACGACCTCTTCTTTAAAATTAAAAAAAAAAAAAAAAAAAAATTCTAAATTGACGTTAAGGAGTGTAAGAACTAATTAAGGGGGGTAAGTTGTCAGTTTGGTATGTTAGAAAGGGTGTAAAAAATAATCCTAACGGAAGTTAATGGAGTGGGTGTTTGTATTAACATAATAACCATTTCAATGCGCCAATGAAATGTTTAAGAAATAATACTATACATATAACATTTTTATCAACATTTCTCATACAATATTATATGATAAAATATGATTAACTGATTTTAAATTTTAATTAAACTTTCACCTAGTCATTTTTTGCTACATAATATTATATGAGAAATATTGTATGAGAATGTTGAATGTGTAATATTATTCAATGTTTAAACTCATAGGAGGTCAGTGTAATTAACTCTAATTTTTTGTTTTGATTATATTTTATTTTAAAAAAGAAAATCAATTCTTTTGCTCTCTCAAAACCACATATCAAATATGTAAATATTTAATCATTGGATTTTCATAATCTAATTGGGTAAATATTATAAAGTTTTGGGTAGGTTAGAGTTACAAACATTTGGTATATAATTGACCATTAATTTTTTAAAAATTAATAAAGAATTTACGAATTCAAGTTGCATTAATAGCATATAAGGTTATCAAATACAAATCATAATATATTACAAATTGATCACAAGTTTGACTTATATGTTATAAGTGTGACATTTAATATAACAAAAATTTTATTATATTTATTCTGTATAACATAGATGTTGAGGAAGTAACATGATTAATTAATTAATTTGAGAATTTTTTTAAAGTATGACTTTAAATGCACCAAATAATACACAATTTTTGTTAGCATAAAAATCAATGCTTATTTTCTTCATTCAATTCTTTCACCAATAGTTTTAGAATTTATAGATGAAAGTCAAAATTTGGTACCCCACCCATAAATTGCCTAAAGCAACATTTTCTTTTTGTATCTCCTATCAAATAAAGAAAGATTTCTTTTTGTTTTTAAATGCGACTACTTCTCAATCTTTTGCAAGCAAGATCTATTCGGTCACCAGCTTTTCTTTTCAATCAAATCATTAAATATATGATGATGCATACAAAATTGCCAAATTTGATATATTATAGCTTTCATTCAATGGATTAAGGAAGATTAAAAAAATTTATATTTTAAAGTTATAGTTTTTATGATTTATGAAAGCTAAAGTTTTCTACATATAGATTGTTTATTGATGTAAAGGGTCTATTTTATTTACCTCTCCATGAGATGGCCTAGCATGAATACATTCACTATTATTGAAAAGAGTAAACAACATATTCCCACCCAAGGTTTGACGAAATCCCAAGTTGATATTTCAAGTTCCATTTATTCCAGATTTCCACCCTTAAAATAACACTATTAACAATTTTTAGGGTAATGAGGGTACAAATACCATAATGCCCTTAACCCTAAATTAATAAATTATGTTTTAATCCTTAAATTACTAGAATTATAAAATTAACCATCTTATTTTGAAATTACTTCAATTACACCCTTAGTGACTGCACACTGTCTCGGTTTTCACCAGATCTGGGCTGTTTCCGATGGCGGAGAATCCCCTGGTCAGCTCCATCACCTTCCTCATCATCCGTCGTCCAAAACCCCTCTGGTTCCCGACTCATTGGGCCCCCTAATCGCCGGCGCCGTCAAGCTTAGGTTTTCATCGTTCTTTGCTAGATTCCGGTTGATTCCGGCGACGAAAATGCAATTGGACATCACCACTGCAACCAGCATCTCCAAATCTACAAAACCCTTATGTCCCCAACAACCGTTTAGTGGCCATTCGCTGGTGGAGACCGATGAAAACCAGTCGCACATGGCGGTTGTCGTGGCTGGCAATCGGTGAGTGATGAGGGGTTGTGAAGGGTACGGTTTTGTAGAGGGGAGGATCATGGTTCAAATGGTGGTGACAATGGTGATTTTGGGTGGAAGAATCGCCTAAAAAGGGCGAAAAACATCGACGGTAATGTTGGCTAACGTACGTCAGAGCTTTGTTAGGGGCAGCGATCTGCCAATGTGCTCCTCCTTTGTAAAACGACCAATTTACCCCTAAACCATTATATCTAACCATTTTCCGTTATTTTAAGGGTGGAAATCTATAATAAATGAAACTTGGGGTACTAAGTTGGGATTTCGTCAAACCTTGGGTGGGAATATGTCGTTTACTCTATTGAAAAAAATTAAGCACATTAAAAGATTTTTGATAGTACATTAGAGATTTTTAAAAAAAAAAAAATTGTAATTATGGGGTACATATGCAGTCGTTTCTAGCCATCAAATCTAGGTGAATATGCTAACATCATATAGATTCACTTGTGTTAGTGATTATGTCGCTAACGGTGCTGCTAAACTTGCTATCAGCGATGGTCACCGGTGACTGTCACCAACAATAGTCGGGTGGATGTTTGTTGACAATTTACTTTTTAATATATTTTTTAGTATTTATTAAAATGTTGTAAAAATTAAAAATAAAAATAAAGAAAGAAATAACATAGACCCTTTTTTGTTATCACATATTCATAAACAATTTGAAAATCTATTTTACCAAAAACATATTTATAGTTTTTGAAACTTACAAGTATAAAAGTATATAAAATTTACTAAGTACGCTCTAAATTATTTATAAAATTGATAATTTGTAAAATTAGATAAAAATAATTAGATTGAAGGGTACAACCTAAAATAAAATTTGGAAATTTTAGATGGAAAAGATTTGTTTGAACTTGATTGAGAAAAGATTTAATGAGTGAATGTTTGGTGTATTTATAGCTGCCTGGTTATATGTTGAATTATTGGTGCATGTCATTTCATGGGAGCTTCATTATTAATTGCAAATCTAGGTGAGATCTAATGCTATGACCACATACATGCCCACAATTGATCGTGACTCCAATTTAATTTAAAGATCGGTTTGAATTAAGAGACATAACATCAAATCAAATTAGTCTAAAGATTATTATCAATCCCAGAATATTATATGAGAAACAAGGTAGGACCATTCATGATTTTTTCAAGAGATTGCATTGGATATACAATGATAGAAATCCAGCACCACAAATTTCAGATTCCAAGGGCAGATCTTGGAGTGTAGAAATAAATAAATAGTGAGTGGACATTGGGGTTATTAATAGAATGGATTTTCTGTAGACAACCTCCTGCTTTACAGGTCTCAGCCATGGAAGCAACTTGAGGAGAAGCCAACATCTATGGACCCTCTTAGCCTTAGCTGCCTCCACCATCATGACTCTTCTATCTGATGGCTGATGCTCTTCATTACTTTTATCTTATTACTTCCACATCATGCTTCTCTCCAATTATACCTTTCCTGGACCATTCCCAGTTGTCATCTCATTTTCACACATGTAAATTTGAATAATCAAAATTATCAAATCGATAATGTTTTAGTATAATACTTGCATTTGACTGTTGATGTTTTTGATCACTATATTCTTTTACCGTTTTTTATAAAAAATAATCAATATCTATTATCAGTTATATTTGACAAGTAATGTTACCGAATCCGTGATCAAGATAAATAATAATATTATGCAACATGTTAACTTGGTTTCTTTGAGCATGCATTATTGGTGTGTTGATATGGTAAAAGTAGCGTGCAAAAATGGTGAATGTCAAATTTGTAAGCTAGCTTATGGGTTCATAATTCATGAAAATGAAAGGTATTTTGGATTATGTAGAGTTGAAGTTCACTTATGAATAGTTTTTTCCTATAATTGTATAAACTATAAACTCTTAAACAGGTGAAGACACTCTGGAAATAGTACTTTATTCTGATGAATTAAGTAATGTGTTGAAAGAGAAATGTTCTTTTCTTCATCTTTTTATAATCTCTAATGTCAACCAATCACCAGGAATCTAGTGTTTTTGCCTCCCATTACAGTAATGGTCTGAGGTGAAGAAGAAAAAGCAAGTGGGGTTTGAATGGGTCAGTCGCTTCACTGAAAACCAGGGAACAAACAATTTTTGTATTAGTTATTTCTTCCATTCCATTCTCTTACAGTGCAGACTGCAGAAGCACTTTTTGTACAGTACAGAAGCACTTTTTAACTGATTTTGCAGTCCTATACATGTGTAAAAACTTCTGCTTTTGGCTTTCTATGGCCTTGGGGAACTCCACATCACACATGTTACCACAAGTTTTATGCTGTTAGGTGCAGCTGGTGTGCCTAAAGATCTTCAATGAAAGGCTGCAACATTCCTCTCCATAAGTTACCATTTGTTGTTTCTCAGAAATTTGTGGCTTTGGTTTCTCTCATCAACTGTAAGTTTTGTTTTCTATTTTTTATGATCTTGTCAATGCTACTGTTTTTTTATACATGTTATTGGGTATTCGGTATTATTTTGTTCCCCAATTATTGCTCTGCATTATTTGTACTACTACTAGGTATTTCTGTCTATATCTATGACATAATTTTAATACCCCGTGTCTTCTTCTAATTAAAGTGTGTATTGTTGAAGCAATGTCAAGGGAATCCTAAAATTTCAGTGTTTTTTTTCTTGAAATTTGTTCTAGGAGGAGAAGCAAAAGTCTGAGAAATGGATGAGAAGGAGGACTCAGGGTCATGTTTGGTTGTTTCTGAAGAGAAGAGTGATAGATTGTATCCAATGTATTTTGGTGTTTCTTTTGCTTTCTTTGCTTTAAGGCTTCTGTCAAGTTCTGATAAGGAAGATGAGAAATGGTCTGAGTTGCATGATAAAATGCTTCAAGGAAGTGCTCAACTGTTGGGTTTGCTTGTGTGGAGAGTCCAGAGAGAGGGGGCTGTTGGGGACAAATGTGAGGTTCTGCATAAGCTTGAGACGGCTGAGAAAGAGATTGCAGAGTTGAGGAAGTTGAGAAGCGAAGACGCCAAAGCTAATGAGAAGGTTGTTAGCATCTTTGCAACGCAAGAGCAGACGTGGTTTAATGAGAGGAAGAAGCTCCAGCAACATATTGGAGCTCTTATTAATGAATTGAGGGTGTTTGAGAAAAAGAGAGATGAAGCTGTTTCGGAGTTGAATAAAAGATTGAAGGAAACTGAGATTTTGGTGGCGTCGAAGGATAAGGTATTGGAGGAAGAGGAACAGAAAAGGAAGGAGGTTGAAGAGAAGCTAACAAAAGCGGAAAGTATTGCAGAAGAATTGAGAGAGGCTGCAAAGCAAGAAGCTCAAGATCATTCTACTGAGATTTGGAAGCACAAAACTGCTTTTATTGAACTTGTGTCGAACCAACGGCAACTTGAAGCAGAACTGGGCCGAGCACTTAGGCAAGTTGAAGCTGCAAAACAAGAGCTTGGTTCAGTCTTGGTGCAGAAGGACGAGTCAGTCTTGTTGGCTCAAAAACTGTCAATGGAAATTCTAAAGATGCGCAAGGATTTGGACCAGAAAGATAAGGTTTTGTCAGCAATGCTGAGGAAATCTAAATTGGATACAAATGAGAAGCAAATGCTTCTAAAGGAGGTTAAATTATCAAAAGCGAAGAAGAAGCAAGCTGAACTGGAAACGGTAAAATGGAAGATAGCATCCGAGTCCATAAATGAGAGACATTCATTGAGAAGTATGTTTGTGAATCAAGTCAATTCAAGATTAGATGCTTCCTTTGGTGCAAGAGGAACATCACAGACTGGAAAGACCAGACAAGAGCCTACTGAGTATGTTCTTGAGCATCCTGAGCTGAAAAAGGACCTCGGTGTTTTCTCGCCGCTTTCTGATTACTATTCAGCAGAAGGAAGTGAGGAATTAGGTAAGAAAACTTCGTGATTTCTTTATTGAGCTAGCAGTAGAGCCTATTGTGATGTTCATTCTTTTCCAGAATTTGTTCTATGAAATGTGATCTTCATGCTTAATATCATGATCATATGTTTTCCCTAGATTTCATTTTAACAATTGTTTTAATTCCTTTTCTCATTCTTGCATTTGAAGTCATGGCAACAGATGTCAAAAGATTGGAAGGTTGGGTTCGCTCGGAAGCAGAAAAGCATGCAACTGTAATTGAGAAGAGGCATCACTTGGAACTAGAGGCTTTTGCAGAACAATTGAGAATGAATGATGAAAAATCAGAAGGTTTTCGTTGGCGGTTGCTGAGTATGGAAATTGAATCAAAGCGGCTGCGGTCCCACTTTGAAGAACTGAACCAGGAGATATCACATCTCAGGCATAACAATATGAAATTGGAAGCCATATTATTGGAGCGGGAAGAAGAATTAAGTTCTCTGAAAGAGCAATTTTTGTTGAAGTTAAAATCTTTTAATTGTCAGAAGAACAACATAAACTCATCTCTAGATGATCCAGCCATAACCCATGATGCCATTGGTTCCAAAGTCAAGATCACAAAGAGAAGACCAGCAGAGAAGGAGCAAGAAACAAAAAAAACTTCAGTGGAAAGGCCTCAAGAGAAAGACATAGAGGTAAAAGACGAAAACCCATCTCACAGCAAGTTCAAAACTGTGACAGTCCAATCTCCTGAAAAAGAGTTTGAAAAAGATAAGGATGCAACAATCCATAGTCCTATTCAAGAGGAAACTGTGAGTCAGGTGGAGGTTGACACAGCTGAAAAGTTAGCATCATCTAACCAGTCCTTGAGCAAGACCAACAGTTCTCCATGGAGGATGGACCTTCATGCTCTTGGAGTTTCTTACAAGATCAAGAGATTGAAGCAACAACTTCTTATGCTTGAGAGGTTGACAGGAAAAACTGGCGAAGATACAGAAAGTAATGACAATGGAATGAAGGGTTTGCTAGTGTTGATGTCTTTGGTAAATAAACAAGTCAGCAGGTATCAGTCCCTCCAAGGGAAGACCGATGATCTCTGTAAGCGTATGGTAAGCACTGGAGACATTCTGATTGACTTATGCTTAGCAGAGTTTTCAGTATTGTGATCATTTGCATGTTTTTCCTTCACAAACTCAATCATATTTGTCACGAGACCGTTTAATTCATCTGTTGAACTTGTGATCATTCTTCTTATGATTTTCAGCATGAGACTGATCTAGACATGAGTCAAGGGGATTCGAGTACTGCAAGGAGGAAAGGAGAAACTAAAACACTAGAGCATCTCCTCGAGGAAACGTTTCAGCTACAGCGATACATAGTTGCAACAGGACAGAAGTTGATGGAAGTTCAATCCAAGATTGCTTCTGGTTTTGTGGAGTTCACAGAAGAACTTGGCAAGACTGCCAGCTTAGACAAGAAGCGCTTTGCTGATAATCTAAGAACTCTCTTTCAGGAGGTCCAAAGAGGTCTTGAAGTTCGGATATCTCGAATCATTGGAGACCTTGAAGGAACTCTGGCTTGTGAGGGGATGCTTCATTTGAGAAGGTAATTGTGAATGCAATAGGCCTGAAATCAGGCCAAATAAGAGTTAGAATGGCATGATTCATGATTGTGCTGATTTCTGTAGTTATTTTTGTATAGAAATAATATAGTTAAAATAATTTTAATGCAATAGAAATGCCCTGAATTCGACTTGCGTTCATTACTCTTGTTAAACAATTTAATCTTCAGCAAGCTAAGATGATGAAGTAGCAATAATATTTACTAAATCCAATCTGATCTAAGTAGATATATTGGATTTTAGATTTTTCAATCCAATTTTGAATTAAAATTCGATCCAATCCAATATATAGAAACCTAAAATTCGATTTGATTCAATCTAATTTGTACAAAATTAAAATCCCGATTCAATCGCATCAAATTCAAGAAAATTGCATCCAATTGAATGAAGAATAAATTGATTTTATCTAAATCCAATTTGATTATACATCTTTTTAAACTTTTTGTCAAAGTTCGATAATTTCATAATTAAATAATTTAGTCATCAGAGAACTATTATATTATTTGAAAATAGGGAAATGATTATATTCAAAATTTTAAATAAATAATTTATAGTGAGGCATAAGTTGGTTGTCTATTACAAAGATAAAATAACAAATAAAGATAATCCCAATAAAATAAATCTATTAAGTATTAAAACTAATAATATAGAGATTTTACGCTCTTATATTGTTAACAAGGTAATGAATTGCATTAAATACAATATAGAGATTTAATCTAGTTTAATATGATCCGCAATGGATATTTTATAATTTATGTTTTGACATATTTGGTTCATAATATTTATCAAATCTAAAAAACAAAAAACAAAATAAAGTACTGATTCATTATAAGTTGGGCCCAACTTGCGGCCCAGAACATGGATTCTATGTAGACCCAATTAATTGTGGCCCGAATTTACTATGACCCAAGCCCATTCTTTTATATACTTTAAGCTTATGCTTTTGGATTTAAGAGATCATAAGAATATGTTGGATTTGAGAGTTTTTTAAATTTTGCATAAGAAAATACAAGGATAACTACCAACGCCCATCGGGGTTCTTATTTGTAACCCCCTAAAATATCAGCTAATTTAAATTAGTTGGAAAATATTAACGAATTTTCGAATGTCAATTAAATTTAGGTTTCGTTTTGTTTTATATAAGTCTTATTCTACCATTTTCATCATTTTCCATTTTTTTTTTTTTTTTTTTTTTGGTCTATCAACTTATTTGTTAAAGTCTATTTTACCCTTTTCTTATTTACCTTTTATCCTATTCATCATTTACCTTTTTTTTTAGAAAAATTATTTTAAATAAAAATTTAATTTAAGAGTAATTTCAATTGAAACTTTTTTTTTAATAAAAAATAATAATTTGATTTTCTTCAAGTTTGGTTTCTTGCTATGAAGAAAATTGTTCCGTCCGTCGATGTTTCATTCAATTTACTTCATTACTTCACCATATCCATACTATCATGTTGGAACTGAAGTTGCTTTGGTGTGGCTCCACTTCCTCTTCAACCACCCAACAGAAAATCCAGTTTGAGCTACTAAATCCGGCTTTGTTAATAGTGATGACGAGTTGTGGTTTCTTCGATGAGGACAATTGAAGAAGAAAAGGGAGAGGTAAGAGAGAAAAGAAATGAAAGGGAGAGGAAAGAAAGAAGGAACCATTGCTAACCTTGCCGCCGACAGTTATATTATGTTGTGAAGAGAAGAATTGTTTTTTTTAATAATTAACAAATTAGAGCCTTTATCATAAATATCAAATTGCTCTAATTCACTTGTTGATGGTCACTCTTGACAAGGAGCACCAATACTACAATCAAGGCCCGATTATCGTTCAAAGCCACAAATTAAGCTTCAAGGCTTCGTTTTAAGCTTAAATGACTCTTTCTTGAGACCTTAAATAAATCCATAACATCTTCTAATGTAAGCTTATGACACTCTTAGAGGTAAGCCTATAACTTATGACACTCTTAGATGTAAGCCTATAACGTTCTCTAATATGAGCCCACGACACTCTCAAAGGTTGTTGAACATGTGTCTCAAGATGCTGCAGAGGTGTTGCTGACTTGGAAGTGTTGAGTAGATTGATTTGGTGGCAGTTGGAGAAGAGGTGTTTCAGTTTTTGTTTGAATAAGTCAAGTTCTGAAGTTGTCAAACTTGTTGCTAGAAATTAGGCATTAAGTTTTGTTGAGCCCTAATGTGTTTTGATGTGCCAAAATTAATCAAAAGAATGTTTAAAGAACTAATAAATGTGCAAAGGTATAACATAAGTCATAACGAAAATGAAAATGCAGTTTTCTAGGTGGAACGACCGATCACGTAGATGGAACACCCGTTCCAATAAGTTATTTCTTCAAAATAACTCGAAGTCAAGCCGTTCTAAGTTGGAACGACATCGTTCCATGATGTGGTTATAATTCTATCCAAAATGAAGCAAGCGTCTCACATCTAAAAGGAACAACCATTCCAAACATTTGAAGACTTATTCGAAGAGGCTAACACAAATTCGCGAGTTGGATATTCTTTGCAATCTAAAGAAGGAATGACCAAGCCGAACGACCGTTCCTCCAGCCCATTTCACATGAACGATGTTGTTCCATCACATCGTTCATGGTTTTGGAATCTGGACATCCTTTGCGATCTAAAGAAGGAACAATCAAGTAGAACGACTGTTCCTCCAGCCCATTCCATAGAAGGAATGCATGTTCCAGTTCAAGTCAAGATTTTGGACTACAAAGATTCAAGCTCAAGTCAAATTTTTGGAAAATCAAAGAGTCAGACCTGAACAACCTCGACGAACATGTTGAAATGTTGGCATATCAGATGCCAAAAGACGAGGTCAGAATCAGTTGGAATAACTGCAGATTACTGCAGACTTAGTAAACAATCTACAAATTTGATTTTGCTTGATTCTACCTATAATTTGTTCATGATTTTTTTTGCTGTAATAGCCCTCGATCTTTGCATCAAGCTTAGGCTAATATCTCAAAAATGTATAAATAACTTGCTGTGGATGAAAGAAAGAAACATAGTTTTCAGCTTCAATTCATTTGCTTCACATTATGTTAGCTTCGCCTTTCATCTACATTCAATCCATAAACACTCTTAACTTTAGCAAAACAACGTTAACCACCCATCAATTCCAACAATTTGGTATCAAAGCTCTATTGGTCTTACATGACCTATCAAAACCAATAAAACACAAACACAACTTCACTCAAGCAAATGGCTAGCAACAGTCTTTCCTTGGTGACACCTCAAGTCTTCACTGGTGAGAAATACACCATTTGGGCAATGAAGATGCAAATGTACTTAGAGGCTTTTGACCTTTGGGAAGTTGCAGCTGAAGATAAACCTGTTCCTCCACTTCTTAGAGATCCAACTCTAGCTCAAATCAAAGCTAACACTGAGGAAAAGACCAAAAGATCCAAGGCAAAAACAATAATCCAAAATTCAGTTCCTTATTCTGTCTTTGGTAAGAAAATGACATGTAAGACTGCAAAGCAAGCTTGGGATAAGCTTAAGATGGAGTATCAAGGCAGTCAAAAAAACAAACAAATGAAAGTGTTGAGGCTAAAAAGAGACTTTTAAGCTCTCATCATGTAGGGAGATGAAACCATTGCCAAATATTCAGATAGAATCTCCTTGATAGCCAATCAAATTAGGTTGCTTGGAGAAGACTTGCCTGACAGTAAGATTGTAGAGAAAGTACTTGTAATAGTACTAGAAAAAATTTGAATCAAAGATTTCTTCTTTAGAAGAATCCAGAGATCTCTTTGCCATATCACTTGAAGAATTGATTAGTGCACTTCAAATACAAGAAACAAGGAGGGCTTTCAGACATGACAGAGTTATAGAAAAAGCCTTTCAAATGCAGCATTCTATTAATAGTAGAAGAGAGCCAATGAGCATAGACCAATATGAAGAGAAAAGCAATAAAAAAGGGCTAGAACTGAAGAAATTTCCATCTTGCACACATTGCAAGAAGACTACACATCCAGAAAGAAATTGCTGGTGGAGACCAGATGTGATGTGTAACAATTGCAAGCATCTGGGACACATCGCCAAAGTGTGCAAGTATAAAAACAAAGGCCTTCAAAATAATCAACAAGCACAGGTTGTAGAAGCTGAAACACAAGAGGAGCAACTCTTTACAGTCTCATGCTTACAAAACAGTAACAGCTGCAAAACTTGGCTTATTGATAGTGGCTGCACACATCACATGACTTTTAATGCAAGTCTATTCAAATAGATTGATGAATCTTACCGCTCCTCTGTAAAAGTTAGAATGGAGATAAGTATAGGGAAAAGGCATAATTACTGTCACAACACACAAGGGTGTCAAACTGATATCTGATGTGTTGTATGTGCCTAACCTCAACCAAAACCTTTTAAGTGTTGGTCAAATGCTTGAAAAAGATTATTCTTTAGAGTTCAAGAACAATGTGTGCACTATATTTGAAACTAATGGTGCTGAATTGCTAAATGTCAAGATGAAAGGGAAAATATTTACCCTTGATTGGAATGAAGAAAAGACTACCAACCCTAGAATAGAAGCTGGAGACTCAATACTGTGGCACAAAAGGCTTGGTCACTTTAATCTGACCAGTCTTGTATTTATTAGCAAGCAAGAACTTGTCAAGAACATGCCTAAATTGACTGAAGTAACTCAAGTCTGTGAAACATGTCAGCAAGGGAAGCAGACTAAGATTCCATTTCCAAAAAACCAAGCCTGGAGAGCCTCAGAAAGACTACAACTGGTCCATACTAATGTATGTGGACCAATGAGAACATAATCTTTGAATGGTAACATATATTTCCTATTTTTTGTCGATGATTGCACTAGGATGTCTTGGGTGTACTTTATTAAGCTCAAGAGTAAAGTTTTTTCTGTTTTCAAGAACTTTAAGGCTCTGGTTGAAAACAAGAGTGGGTAGACCATCAAAACCTTGAGGTTAGACAATGGCAACGAATTTACCTCTAACCAATTTACTGAGTTTTGTAGGATTATAGGCATTGAACATCAGTTGACCACACCATACAAACCACAGAAAAATGGTATTTTTGAAAGGAAAAACAGATCCATAATAGAGATGGCCAGGTATCTCCTATTTGAAAAGAAGATGCCT